CCCTGGACAAGATATACAAGATCTTCATTTTTTTTTTAATTTACAATTTTGAATCTAAAGTTTTGGAAATAGAAAAAACTTTTAGCAAGAAACACTTAATAATAAGCGGTCTCTATATACTAGTGAATTTTAATAATTAGTTGGTTCGTTATAATTATTATCATGACATATTGTACTTTAACGGAAAACCTCAAAACGCATTTTTGGGGAAAGTGAGACATTTTTCATGTAAATTTATAACTCTTGCTAGCAGAGGCGGGTCTAGAATTTGGAGGTGGAGGGTGAAACGATATTTACGTTAGATCGTTTGTTTTAATTTTGGGTTATAATTCATGTTTTTGATTTATTTTTTATAAATAAATCAATAAATATGCATGTTAGTGATATTTTTTTTATAGATATTTTGTGATTAGAGATAACTAAACAATTCAATTTTTATTTCCTTTTTGAAATTAGTTGTTTTATTCGCTTAAACTTTGAGGAAAAAAAAGATTTTTCACATTAAAATTTGAGTTTGTATAAACTATCTAATAGTATTAACATAATATATTTATCTTTCATTGAATTTATGTGTTGTTATAGATACATAGTAGGAAAAGAATAAAAATTGTAGTTCCAGCGTAGTCATCTTACTTAGCGAGAACGTCGGTGAAGATCAAAAGAACCTTTAAATAAAAAAAAACAAACTATAATATTCATCATTTTAAAAAGTTATGATTTTTTTAAAAAAAACTACCATTTAAATATATTCTTAATAACACTTATTTGACGCTCATAATTCAATACCCATTAATTGATAATAAAAAAAACACGTTACACATATATCAAGAGATTAATAATTAATCAAGAGAAAGTAAAAAAAAAACTAAAAAATAATGATGAAAAAGGATCAATTTGAATTAATAAATAATAGTATATAAATAAGAATAAATTGGAGAAAAAAAATGAAAAAAAAGGAACAAGCAAAAGAGTAGATGTTGTTGGTGAGGTTCAAACCTTGGCTAGGTGGCAGACCCTCTCTTTGACTAATTTAGTTGTTCCGTATTCTAAATACTGGGTGACAAAGGTAATATTTATTCAATTATTATACATATATATATGTAACATTTTTTTCTAGATCACTGGGTGTCGTGGTACCCCAACTATAAACGTAGATCCGCCCCTGCTTGCTGGAACCTAGCTATCAGCGTTAACAGTAGCATAGCCACATAGTGGTAAGAGTGTCCAATTGAACACCCTTTGTCGAAAAGAAACTATCATATCTATAAATAAAATTGTATAGAAAATAATTAAATAACATATTTTAGACAATTTTAACATAATAAATTACTATTTCTGAACACGATTTGTTAAATACTGACTCCACCACTACAAACTAAGTTATTGGTTGTTGCTCCATTAATTTTGTCATGAAAAAATAGTGGTTTACAAGTTTTGCGTGCTATAGGGAAAAAACCAAAACGTACAACAAATTAGTTGTTTTGACAAATACTATTGTAAAATGAATAGGACTTCTCATAGAATATAATTCCATATTTTACATGACAAAATATGCAATAAATGAAAGTGCAGTAGACCATATTTTAATTTAAGAAAATGTTCCCCTCATATTGATCAATGCATGTTTTAGTTTAATTTGTGAGTTTAAGCTACTTGTGTTTTTCTTCTTTCTTCCACGACTCTTTTTGTCTTCATAAAGCTTACCTACTTAAATCCACTTATTTTAAATGTTTTTTGTTAAAGTGAAAATAACTTTTAAATATTTCTTTAGTGTTTGAATTAATTTGAAAAATAAAAGTAATGTTTTACTAATAATTTCTCTATACTTTACCACATACTTGAAGTTAAAAACTTTTAACCCTTTAGTTCCATCTATATTGTAATACTTTTTTTTTCTTTCTATTTGATGTTAGAAATTCGTTTTTAAGGCCTGATTAAGTTGAATTGTATTGAAAAAAATTCTATTATAGAGAAATTAGAGCGTTCACTATTAAAGATGATTTTTTATATATATATCTAAAGCTTGAATTCGACACGTTTGTTAAAGATCTAAAAAATTTTGTTACCATTCCGATATAACTTTTGATGATCATAAAACTTATGGTGTGGTCCACGGGGTCCTTATGTAGGAAAAAACAATTAATGAATAGTTTAATATCTACCTCACATCTTTACTAGAACCTATCAACCACATACATATGCATCACGTTTTTCTAATTTCTATTAAAAGATTGTCCCATATTAAATTCATCTATTCAAAAATTTTACCTATATAAATGCACACATCTAATTATATTAGAATTAATAAACTCCTAACTAAAGAGAAAAAAAACCCTACCAAGTCCCATAGCTATAATTATGACAACATATGTTGAGCCAAGGACTCAAAAAATGAACAATGTGGCTAACCATTTGGAGCCATGGCTACAATTGGAAGGCAAAGTGGTTTTTGTAACCGGTGCATCGGCGGGGCTCGGCCGCGAATTCTGCCTTGACCTAGCTAGGTCTGGGTGCAGAGTCGTGGCGGGTGCTCGTCGGGCGGACCGGTTGAAGTCCCTTTGTGATGAAATTAACACAATGTCTAGTTCAAATTCTCATTTAGTTAGAGCTATGGCTATTGAACTTGATGTTACTGCTGATGGTACAACTATTGAAGCATCAGTAAAGAAAGCTTGGGATGCTTTTGGTCACATTGATGCTCTTATTAACAATGCTGGCGTTAGAGGTACGTAAAAAAAAGTTTATACCAACAAAATGTACGTGTCTTTGGGTTTTATGTCGGTCGATTTGGTTCGATTTTAAAATTTATCAATTTTACTTATCAGTTCGAATCATTCGGTTTGATTTTGAATAAAAACATGAATTAATAAATAGGTTCTTATGAAATTCACGAAATACTTAAATATATATCATATGATATACTTTTTGAAACGCTTTGTTACAAAATAGAATATTTATTTATATCAAAGGAGATTAATTCAACAATTTATGATAAAAATAAAAATAAAATGTATTTTATAGTTTTTTTTTTCTTAGCCTTTGTTTGGTAAGTTATTGAAAGTTTTCGATGAGATCCAAAAAATTAACCTAATTTTTTTTTTTTGATTTCATGTTTGATACTCTTCTCAGAGATCTCAAATGAGGGAACTCGTATTTGTATTAGATCTGACTAATCATCCATCCTATGTTCTTTACGTTTTTGACAATCCATCTTTGTCTTAGTAGAGTAATGAATCATTAATTTATTGCACCTCGTTCTATGTACGCAGTATAATTTTTCGACACAAGCTAACTACTTTAATTTAATTTGATATAGTATATATAATATGAATGTATTTATATATAGGAGGAATAAAATCTTCAGTGGATATTTCTTGGGAAGAATGGGAAAATACTTTAAGAACAAATTTGACAGGATCTTGGTTAGTTTCCAAATATGTTGGAAGACAAATGCAAGCTTCAAAAAAAGGAGGCTCAATTATTAATATTTCATCAATTTCTGGTTTAAATAGAGCTTTAATGCGTGGTGGTATTGCTTATAGTTCCTCCAAGGCTGCTATGGATTCTATGACTAAGGTAATTAATTAATTATAACATTTTCTAAAATGACGTTTGTCGTATCAAACACGTACTAATCAACTTTGTAATTTGCAGATAATGGCATTAGAATTGGGAGAACATAATATTAGAGTGAATGCAATAGCACCAGGTTTATTCAAATCAGAGATTACTGAGAATTTAGTGAAAAAAGATTGGATACAAAATGTAGCAAAAAGAAGTATTCCACTTAAAACATTTGGTACAACTGATCCAGCATTGACTTCACTATTGAGATATTTGGTACATGATTCTTCAAATTATGTATCTGGCAATATATTTATTGTTGATGCTGGCTATACACTACCTGGAGTCCCCATCTTTTCTTCTCTCTAGGTTATAAATCGTCACTACAGTCAGACATCTTTATAACAGTCATATCTTCTGTAACGATGTGTCATTATAATAGTCCACAAGATATTTGGGCAAAATGGCGTTAGTTATAAAAAAAATAAAAAATTCGATGTATTGTTATGAATTTTTTTCTTGTTGTTATTGTTGTTGTAATAAGAAATGTTTCCTTGTATGTACCAATTCGTTTGAGATTATTTGATTATTTGTTACGTTCACTTACAAATGCGTATAATAGGATCCCGCTCTATCTGACATATCGTAAGAAGGGGTTCTACTTAAAATGACCCTATTCCATCGTAGTTAGCCAAACATATTAATAGGTGTGAAACTATGATAAGTGAATATAGTATAATAGAGATCATGATCAAATAGGTCCAACTTTTGTATTTCTTTCATATTTGTATCATTTGTAAACAAAATGATCCAGCCACATGTAAATGCACTTATTCTGATGTACAAATTGCAATTCAGGGCATTTCTATGAAAGAAGAAAGAAAAAAAAAAGGCCAGGCTAATATGTTCAAAATAGTCGAAAATCTGGGCACAATTCATGTCCTTCCAACTGGAAAATGTATAACTTGAACAACACGCGCACCTCTCCTAACTAGACGAGATCCATTGACACGAGTCTTCATTGACGATGCTCCTCCACAACGTTGACCAGCAAAGGCGAAGAAATGATTCACTGTCGCCTATTATGAGGCTTTCTAATGCCACGGCCTTGCTGGGGTATGTCCTTCAATGACATTACTTGAACCGTCCTATGCCTCTTGGCTGAACAACAGTCAATAAAAGAAATATCATTAGATCCTCTTTGCAAGTCTACGCGCGCTATAAGAAACTAAAACTAACCATTTTCAACTTGTTGGTAACACTCATGGAGCTTTCGCTTTGTGGCCTCAAGATTCAAACGTTCTGCATCCTCATCGAGGCATTTCAGTTTCTGATACAACGAAATGATGAACTGTTAGTTAGAAACTGAAGCTTTACATGAACTAGAAATTGACACCCTTCAAATACTTACATTTTGCTGAGTATGCACAGGCCTTGTTTGAGTTTTTCTCTTGTCAAATTTCTCCTGGAGTTTCATTTCATGATCATTGTTGAGCTTCTGTTCGAGTGCTCTCTTAGTTGGTCTTCCACGTCCTGGGTTGACTCCGGGAGGCTTATTTGGTTTGACAAGGGAAGTTCGTTTCTTTTCTTGCTCGTCCTTTTGGTCCACGCTGATTATAACATCTGAAAGAAAGTCCGCCATTAGAAGAAGAATAGAGTAGATTTGAAATTATTACAAGGACAAAAGTTTCTACTCACTCCCATCATCATCCATGCCATCAAAGATCTACATTTAATATATAGGAAATGATGAAAACGAGTCACTGTCAATCATGAAGGTAAAGATAAATGATTTTGTCGAAGAAAGGTAAGGCGTTAGGCATACTTGTGACAGCTCGATTTTAGAGGTGGTCTGAGAAAAAAGGAAAGGTAAGTCCTCCAAGGGCGGGGCAGGAAGTCCTCCTTCTTCTTCATCAACAACGAATGCTTTCGTAGACTCAGATTTCCTTTCTGTACCAACAATTTCACAACTCACCACATTAGACTTCAATAATGACTTTCAACATAGAATAAATACAGAACACTAAATTTTGGCGGACCTGTTAATGCTGCTCGAGCATCCACCCACTCTTGTACCATTTCAATCCACTCCCTGTGATGCATGAGAAATGATTAAACACAACGACACTCGTTTTCCATATCCATCCAGTCTAATTTAACTCATTGTTAGGGAACAATCAATGTCTCTACACAACTACAGTTTCTTATATAACCACAAAGTCGCGGTTAAGTGCACAAAGTGGTGAAACTAGGTATATGCTTTAATTACTTAATAGTACTGGAGCAGAAAACTGTACAAATAAGGTAAGGACATCATCACACTCCCTGTAATATCCCCGCTAGCATGTAAATTAATAGAAAGCGATATGAAAATCCAACAAAAACTGCAAGTGATGACAAAATGGTGCGATAACTCAAAAAGGAAATATTGTTCAAAACTATATTAAATGAAGCATCATGTAAGAAAGAGTGACATACTTGACCATCTTCCTGACCAGACATCGAATATTTTTTGAGTTGTGCCATCTGAGAGTACTAACAGACTTCCCAATTTCTGTTTTCTGATATAAAAATATATACGTTGAGTACGAATTGCTGATAAAAGAAATTGCAAATCAAATCTATACATTGGTAAAAGACTAAACCTGCAGAATCTCCACGGACAAACCCATCGTTTGAAGCCTCTTTAAGCTCTTATATACATTCGAATCAGACTGTCAAAAGAACATAACACTATAAAAATCTAATAACTGAAGACCCTTGACTCAAGGAGAAACATTTCAAAGCAGATAAAAAGTAAACTAAATGGCATCACATTTCTACATTGTTTCAAAGACTAACTACATCATATATCAATTGAGACAAAAAAAAAACCTTACTTCATAAGGTATAAAAGAAAAACCAACAACAGCAAAAAAAAAACAGTTCAATTGAAGTGAAGTAAAATCACTCTATTGATATATACCTCATTTTGACTGTTATCGATGATTTTCTTGATCGATAGAGCCTCCTCAACAACTCGAGACTCTTCCTCTATCTCATCGCTCAATGCCTCAACTTCAGCATAGCTTTTCTTGATCGGTAGAGCCTGGTTAACAACTCGAGACTCTTCCTCTATTTCATCACTCAATGCCTCAACTTCAACATTGCTATCATTTTTCCTTTTTTCAACATCACAGTCATTTAACCCTCTGACTAACTCATTTTTACACTTTCTTTTACCCTTATCACCCTCAACATCAACAACATTTTCTACCTCATCACTATCCAAATCCCCAAATGAGAAGAGCAGCTCATTAATTCCATCTCTTCTTAATTTGAACTCTTGTGGGTAATCAATGGCTGCTACTCTTATTGCAGATTCAATGATATAAAAAATATCCAAAGTTGATGACCTAAAATAGGCTCTCCATTGCCTCAGTTCCTTGTTCTTCTTTTTCATGATTGTGAATCAAGAACCTTTCTAAACAACCACCCTAAGCTAAAAAGATTAACTATCTGTAACACAGAGAGAGTAAAAATTCAATCTTGATTACACCCAAAGACTAAAAATTGAATTTTTCACCATAAAGATTAACTATATATAACACCAAGAGAGGAAAAATTCAATCTTGATTATACCCAAAAACTAAAAATTGAATTTTTGACTAAAATGATTAACATCCAGAGACTAAAAATTCAATCTTATTATACCCAAAAAAAACTCAAAATTGAATTTTTGACTAAAAAGATTAACTATTTATAACACCCAGGGAGTAAAAATTCAATCTTGATTTATACCCAAAAACTAAAAATTGAATTTTTGACTAAAAAGATTAACTATTTATAACACCCAGAGAGTACAAATTCAATCTTTATCCAATTTTTACACCACCCATGAACTAAAAATTGAATTTCTGATAAAAAGATTAACTATCTATAACACCTAGAGATTAAAAATTCAATCTTTATCCTAATTTGACACTACCCAAAAACTAAAAATGGAATTTTTGATAACATGATTAACTATCTATAACACCCAAAGAGTAAAAATTCAATTTTTATCCTATTTCGATACTACCCAAAGAACTAAAAATGGATTTTTATTTAACACCCAGATAGTAAAAAGTCTATCTTTATCTAAGTGATAATATCCAAAATCTAAAATTTTAATTTTTTATGGAAAAAAGTTTGACTATGTATCTCAAATTCTCATCTAAATTTAATGTTAGTTACAAAATTAATTACAATAATCAGTGACTTGATTGTTCTACTATATCTGGAAAAACTTCATAAATGTAAATTTTGAATGTAGTAGACCGCAAGTTCTCAACTGATTTTTGCCTTTTGGGCCTATTCATTTATGTTTGGTGTAATATGACAAATATTGTTTTGACATTGTGTATTATTACAACAAACACACACAAGGGAACAAAATAAAGGTCCATATGTATAATGTCACAACTAAGAGCCCGTCAAAAATAAAAGGGATAATACATAAGTATTTCCTTAATTCTTCGAAATTTCAAAGACACACTTATACTATCCCTCTGAACTTATTTTATTAATAATTTTTTATCCTTTTTTGACCTACGTGACACTATATTGGAGGCCCAATGCTGATTGACTTTTTTTCAAGATAGTGTCACGTAGGCCGAAAAAGGTAGAAAATCACTAAATAAGTTCATGGGCGTAATAGCACCTTAGTATAGTATAAGTGTGTCTTTGAGATTTCGAACATTTGTTGAGGGGTACTTGTGCATTTTTCCAAAACAAAAAGTTAAATAAAAATAACTTTTAAGTCAAAAAATAAAATATAGAGGAGATCTACATTTGGTTTTTGATGTATTATAAGTCATTTTAAACTTATTCAAAGTTATTTTTGACCTTACCAAACACTTTCTAACTTATTTTAAGTTATTTTTTATATTTGTCAAATACTTTCAACAAGTCAAAAAACTGACTAAAAAATAAGTTTGACCAACTTTAAGTCAATTCAAATACCATCGAAAATAGGTTTGACCAGTTTAAATTTGAACGGATTATTAATTTGTTTACTTATTAGCTTAGTCTATTTAGCCCGTAAAAACTGGATCGATATATATACACATATATGGAGATGAAGAAGAGAACAAATCTTTTGTTCAAGTGTGTAGTTCAAATAGTGAGTGATATCTCTATTTATAGTGTTCAGATATCACTCTCAAAGGTCACTAGATTAATAGATACATGTTTATCCACAATGGATCATATCACCTTGAAAATATACATACATGAATACAAGTAATTCATGAATATCCACTGGACAATCCACTTAATTAGTTCAATGGATTTATAACACTCTCCGTTGGATGTCCATAGATAATATGCCTCGTTAAAACCTTACTAGAAAAAACTCAGTGGGAAAAAATTCTAGTGATGGAAAAAGAGTACACATATCTTTTGTTACGCATTATTTGTTGCCTCATTAAAAAGCCTTGCCAGAAAAATCTAGTGGGACAAAAACTTGGTCAAGGAAAAAAGAGTGCAACGCGTATTATACTCCGCTGACTAAAACATCACTTAATTTCTTGCGATGATATCTCCAGTCTTCATACATTGTGGTTGGTATATTTATTTCAAAGAAAAATCACACATTTCCTGAATATGGTGTGTCATTTATCTCAACCAGACGCACTTTCGACTTGCTTCATGGAGGACTTTTATTTCTGCATAGCAACATTTGATTCATTGATCGCCAAGATATTATTGTGTCTCCATATGCAAACAAATAGCGTGTTTGAGATCGTGCTTTATGCGGATCGATATTCTACATCTGCGTAACCAATCAACTCTGACTTGAATTCTTCGGAATAGAATGAGCCCATGTCTATGGTCCTTCAAAGATATGCAAGTATATACATAACACCATTTCAATGTCCTTTTGTTGAGGAGGAACTGAATCTTGCAAGTAAATTTACTGCAAAACAGATATATGATCGAGTATTGTTAGCAAGATGTATAAATACCCTCCTTGCACTAAGAAATTCTTCATTCTTCTCTTGAGATCAAAATGAATCATTCTTTATTTCAAGAGATCTCATAATAACTGGAGTACTCAATGAATGTAATTTATCCATATAAAATTACATCAAAATTTTTCTGTGTATGTTGATTGATGGACAAATATTTCATTCGTCAAATTATCAATTTTAGGTCAAGACAATTTTATTTTTCCATAATCAATTCCCTTCTCAAATACTCAATAGCTTTTAATAGCTCCTTAAGAGTGTTAGTAGTTTCAGATCATCTATATACACACTTTATAACGAATTCAGATCCTGACCTTTTCATAAAAATTCAAGGACAATTAGGGTCATTTTTTTTGTACCCTTTTCTTCCTTGATTATTTCAATCCATATAAGAATTCTTGAAGCTTTATTGAAAAAGTTTTCTTCAAACTTTTATAAGTTTTAGACACCTCAATTGCTTCAAGGATTTTCATATAACCTTTATTGTCTAGCTAGACATGACAATTATTCATTATATGCATTCAAGTTTTACGTTGCCAGATCAAAACAAACTTCATTGCAATTACCATAGGAGAAAACATCTCTAATAATGTCAGGATTTCTGCTACAAACCTTTATGCCCAAGGCACAAGCCGTACTTTATATCTTACGGTTATACTATCACATAATAATATATTTGTACCCATTGACATTATACCTTGATTTATGGATTATCATTTCAAAACGTCACTTTTCTAAGTGAAACAAAGTATACTTGAATTATACATTTTACTTGACCAATCATTTATCTGTCCACACTAAATGACAGATTTGAATTCAAGATCCTCGTCACAATTTATTTCATTGAGCGCTAGCTCATATCAAAGATACCGTCGACGGTTATTTGATATCGATTCCAACAAGACATGATTTATCAAGATCTCTTCATTTTTCAGGTACCTGAGCCTTTTCCAAGGTTTTATAAAGTGTGATGTCAATGTGCTCTTTTATAGCACTTGACTCATTATCATAACCATATTGATTATTTGCTCCCTCCTTCTTCAAGAAATTTTATATATGGAACCCATTGGTCTATTACACTTCTAGCGTGTCATAGACTCTGTCCTTCAAGGACTTCATGTTGGAGCATTTGCAACTGAATTATATCATAAGATAAGTGCATTCATCTGGACTGATTTGCAACATTATGCAAATGAATTATCCCTTGAACTTTAAGTTCACATATTTATTTAACGAGGATCTAAATAATTCATAATTAACCTCACACATAATTTTCAGCTGTCAAAATCATCTCTCCCCCTAATGTTAGAAAATCTAACATTTATCCCAACCTCATTTTGAAATTCATACTTGTGCGTGGTGGAACAATTAAAATCAAAACCGCATATGCAACATTTTAGATGAAAATTGTTTGGTTCCTGACCCTGAACCAATTTTGATGGGGAAACCGTGTTGGATGGATGTATACATGTATTGCTACATGTTAAATAAAATTATCTCATACCAAATCTTATTTGGGAGTTTTGTTCTCATAACCATATGATTTAGCTATAATTGGAGGCATACAACTTATGCTAAATCAACCAGCATTATCAATATAATTTCATAGTTTGGAACTATGCTCTTAGTTTAACAATTCGAGCAAACAACCTTACAAACACCATTTTCTAAGTTGACAACAAAGCACATGTGATCATCACATAGATACGTTTATCATATAGTTGCAAATGATCCACATGGTAGATGAATGGATCCATATTCACCTTTTCGTACGTTCCAAAAATTTCAGAGAATTACATTCCCAACTTTACTGGTACAATGATTATTTTATGAAGAGAACAAGCAACACAAGAGAATTCTTGAAGAATTTTTTATTTTTTTATCATATAATCTACATGAATTCTCAATTACATTTGCATCACATTTTAAACCAGAATAATCAACCGGTCATGTCAACTGATCTTTATTTCAGTACACTTATAGTTTACTTTTGCATGTGAATTCATCAGCATGCCCACATTTGTGTGCAACAAACAAGAGAAAAATGGGCAATCGGCTACATTAATATTTAAAACCCACTTCAATTATAGTAATCTGAAAATAATAAATCTTTCCATAATTTATAGTCTCAATATTTTTTTCAATTCATACGAAACTTAAAAGGTTCTTTGAGACTTGCTACAACCCCAATATTATTCCTCTGGTAATAACACAACTTGTTTGAGCTTGCAGTTAGTTTTGTGTACTATCAAATATCCCATGACACCATCCCTATGGTGAACATCTCCTTCAAGGAGAAAATTATATTATTATTGTAATGGCCAAAATTATTACAAGTAAGACATGTTTCTTGCTTTACTTTTGTTGTACCATAGGTACACAACAAATGACAAATTTGTATTGCCACACAGTATATTTGATCATGACCACAACCTTTATAGGCAAGAATTACTTCTTTCTTTTTTTCCTTTCGGTAGTCCATAACAAACATACCGTAATATTCATGACGTATAAACGATCAATATCATTGACATTTCATATCAAACAAAATTTATTTATTCTCTTAAACCTCCCGTAGAGGTGAGTTTGACATATATCCAACCATACATGAATATATTCTTATTCATATTTTTCCTTCATATTTTTCCATATTCACTTTCAAGAATAGAGAAACATTCACATGCTTATTACAAGTCACAATCTCTTCATGAGTTGACTATAACCATTTATACATGTCATACCCTTATATTTGACATATTTACATGATCTACCTCAACATCACTTTCAAAAATAAAGTGCACTATCACTTTATATTCTTTTATTTTGATGGAGGATTTATAAAACTTATCAAAATAAGGTCGCGTGACAACCGCGTGTCCAATGACCTTTCATATCGTTTTGATGATAAAATTATGTTTCATAGTTTGAAGGACTATTTGAAGAACTCATATTATTCTTTCTTGAATTACCACAATGATGACTATTACGATTTGTCCCTTCACGCTCTTATTCATACATTTAACCAAATGTCGTCTTTCAGACTTATTATTCATTGTTACCACATCCATATGATAGAAT